TGACCTTGGACTGACTCCAGGTTGACCTTGAACTGTAATCTTCTTGCTTTAACTTCCCTAGTAGCTGAGTTAACCATCTCTGTGTTGTCAGGATTTGGTTGTCACTCCATCCTTAATTGAAAGTGTTTTACACATACACACACACACACACACACACACACACACACACACACACACACACAAAATGGGGAGTTAGATTAGTGTATCTGACAAATGCAATCTTAAAAAACAAGTGTATCTTTCAAAACAAAGAAAAATGACAGTTTTGACAATTTTTAAATTTCCTTTTAAAAATTTATTTCTTTAATTTAGAAACAATCTTATTTTACATATCAATCCCAGTTCTCTCTCCCTCTCATCCACCCATTCCCCGAAACTGGTGCCCCCATCCCACCCACCCTCCACTCCCCAGAGAGGGTGAGGCCTTCCATGGGGGAATCAAAATCTGAATTTTGAAAACCCAGGTAGGTAAGATTTAACTTTTCATTTTGATTTATAATTTCATTTTACATGTCAGTATTCGACATATGTGCTCCTCATAAATCTCTGTAGTTCTCAAACTATCAACAACTTTTGAAGAATGTACTATGCCCTGTGGACAAAACTTCTGGTTTTTAAGAAGAATGGTTCAGGCAGAGAAAAAATAGTAAGTGTTTTGAAGTAGGAATGGGATTTGGAAGAAGGGAATCAGAATAGCTAAGGGCTAGGAGAAACAGGGAGAAAGGGGGTATCAGGGATCTCATTCCCAGTCAAATCTTTTAGCTCTCAAGACCCTAAAATTAAAGAATCAAAGAGACAAATTAAGTTCTACATGTGAGAGTAGATATGTAATATCTAGCTTTTGTGCCTGGATTATTGCCACTGGGTTGTCAAGTTCTATCCATTTTGATGAAAATTTAAAAAGGTCTTTCTCTTTAATGGCTTAATATAATATTCAAGCATGTTTTTAAAACAATAGCAAGAATCCAGACACAATCCCGAAGGAGTAAATCCTCATGCTCCACAGAATAGTGGTGACTACTTTTCACACATCTACACACAACATTTCATTAAAGATTTTATAAAAAATCTAGAATATAGCAGGTCAAATAGTAAGCATAAAGAAATGAAAAGGATGTCTGTCTTGTGGTGAATGCTCTTAATCACAGCACTTCAGAGGCAGAGAAAGGCAGATCTTTGTGATTTCAATCTAACCTGATCTACATGAGTCTTCTTGTCAGGGCTAATACTGCTGATAAAGTTACCTGGTCAGTGCACACCTAGATATATGTTAAAGTATCATATTAGATTCCATTAATATGTACAATTCTTGTCTGTTCAAGTGTAAGAAAATTTTATTTTTAAAATTTAAAAAGAGAAGTAATAAGAATCTCTGCGAATTCAAGACAATCTTGTCTACATGGCAAGTTCTAGCCTACTCAGACTTACCTAGTGAGATGCTGTATCAAAGAAACACACAAACAAACAAAAAAAAACTTTTCTTTTTGACAGCTTGTAGGGTACTTGAGAAGTAATGGTTTCATAAGTTTTTCTACTGATATACTCTAGGACTGCCTTTTCATTTCAAGAGTAAGCAGGATTTCCCACTAGATCTTGTATGACAAATGAGTGACCTGGCTCTGTTCACCTTGTGGCTTTGAGTTCAGGAAAAATAGTAACCACATTCCTCAGAATACTTGCTGGTCTAGGGCAATAGGAGATCTGGTGATCAGGATGCAGAGTAGTCACTGTCACTTTAGTCTGTCAGTCTGTGTTTGTTTGAAACCCATTTAGCCTTCATAATCGATTGTCATACATCCTCTGAATCTCCCCTTTCCAAGGCGTTCTGAATGGCAGATGTTGACCATGCCTCTTCATGATGTTCAAGGGAACTAGCCCTTGGTCACCACTTTGATAAAAAATTCAACATACTTAAACTTTCTAGTTATTCTCATATGATATTAAATTTTTTAGTTTTGAAAATATGATAATAATACATTGTAAGAATTTGTGTAGAATTTACAGGAGCAACACAAAATAGTGAGGAGAGTTATTTATTTATTAATTTGTTCCAATGCTCCACAAATGGAGGAATTAAGAATTAAGTTTTCGGCCTTGGGTCACTCTGCTAACTGGAGTCAAAGCTGGACTAGAAGGGCTTTCTGCCCCTCGCTCTCTGTTCTCAGTGCTACAAAGTTCTCCAGCTAAATAAATATTAACTGCTGAAGAAGGTAACCAAAAGGATTTGTGTGAAATCTAAAGTCAGCATGAAAATTCCGAGAAAATATGGTATAGTGTGAATGCTCTATAGAAACTGATGTTAGAGGATAGAGGATAGCTTAGCCATTAAGAACACTGCTCTTCTTGCAAAGGACTGAAATTCTGTCTCAAAACACTAAAATTAGGATGCTCATAGCCACCTATAACTCTAGATTCACAGGATTTGGACCACTTCTGGCCTCTGTGGGCATCCAAATACAGATGCATGTGCTCAAATACAGTCACACACACACACACTCACATGCACACACATGTAAATGAAAGGAACTCTTTCAAAAGTAATCTACTCTTCATTCACCTAGGAATATGCTTGTGAAATGAATATTTCATTTGCCCATAATTTCATTTCAGCTTTTGTTGTGTATCCTTTGAGATCTACTTATTCTAGATTGGGTTTCTGAAGCCTTTTTGTCTAAGAATACAAGCAAAGACTTCCAAAATGCTTCAAATTTATTATACATTTGATTTTAAATATATTTTTGGTTTTTATGTGTCCAGAAATCTATGACTATTGCCACGTTTTCACAACATTTGGCATTCAGTTATACATTTGTGACTCCAAGTTTAAATATTGTGTTCCAGTTATCCACTGTCAGATGAATAGCTGGCAAGTATTTTTTTCCCATTCTGTAGCGCTTCATTTCCCTTTATTAATTATTTCCTTGGCTGTGCAGGAGCTTTTTAATTTATGCAAACCCATTAGTCAATTCTTGATATTACTTCCAGCACTATTGAAATCTATGAGAAACTTTTGACTTGTAACTGTTTCTTTAAGTGTGTCTGTCAATAGGTGAACAGATACCAAAAGAGTGACCATAATACAGTTTTACTTAATCATATAATGTTATTTTCAGAAAAATGAATGGCACAGGAGATGATGATGCTAAGTGAAATAAAGAACAGTAAGGAAGACAAGTATTGCATTCTTTCATATATGGAATCTAAATTTTTAAAAATATGAGAATATATGTTTATGTAATGCATACATGGCATGAAAACAGAAGGAAGACTATTCTTAGAGAAGAAGGTGGTCAATGGGAGAATAGGGGGATGAGAGAAAATAGAGAATAAACATTAGTCATATTCAATATATATATATATATATATATATATATATATATATATATATATAAAACTGTCATAGTGAAACCCAATTGGTTAAAATTTAAAATGCAATTGTTAAATTAATTGTGCTCACATGAGAAATTCTATTAAAATGTATATATTAACCATATTAGTTTTAAAGACCAAATCAAATAGAATTCATTTTAAACCTATCAGAAATAAAAATATACTCCTTGCTTTGTAAATCAAAATCCTAGGGCATAAATAGATGATAGATTAAGGAAGATCTGAGATTCTAAAATTTGAAGCACATACAGATAATGATTAGAGTTGTCAAATGTCTTATTACAAAGTCATTTAATTCTGCCTGATCTTTCTGTCTTTTTCTAATAACTTATTAATTTCCTTTATTTTAAACTTGACACCTCCTACAATATTCTTACAATAGTGACAACAGTATTAATACGAATAATTTATAAATCTTTCAATTCTATCAATTACATGTGTTAACAAAAATATCTTTTGTCTTTCAACTGTTGTAATGAGCATAAGGCATCTACTCAATAACTTTTTTTTTTTAGGCGACTAAGGTAGTGATAGAGGAAATTACCTTTAATTCAGTCTCACTATTAAAACATGAAAGAATGATATGGACTCAGGTTTTTGTTTGGTTTTGGTCATGTTGAGATAGGGTCTAATGAATCCCAGGCTGGACTCAAATTGACTACATAGCTGAGGATGTCCTTGAATTCCTGATCCTCCTGCCTCCATCTGCAGAGTGTTGGAATTAACAGTGTGTGTCATCACTCCTTGTGTAACGTGTAATGTGTGGTGCCAGGATTGAACCTACGGCTTATCAATGATAGGCAAATACTTACTGACTAAGGTATGTCTCAAGATATTTCTAAAGGAAACTTTATTGTAGCAACCCATATTGAAGCATCTTACTCTAAGTTTTCATAAGCATGAGTAATGGATATTTTTTGAATAAAAAACCCTACAGATACAACTTATATAATTAAATAATTGAGGGGATAAGGGGTTGAAGACATTGCACATTTGCTAAAGTACAAACCAGAAAGTGACTTGGAAAGATTGATCAAAAGAGGCCTTTGGAGCAACCACAACTTTGGGTGACTTCCACCTTGGAAAAAAGCCATGAGTATGTGGTGACAGAATGAAAGATTAGTGAATTGTGATGTTTTAAAGATATATTTATGTTTTCTTCATTTTTTTATTTTTGGATTTAAGCTATAGAATATTATCTGCAAGTAGGGTTTTGAGTGAGTTCCTAAGGGAAATCCACAAATGAGAAACAGGTCGGACATTGCTGAGTGGTTCCAGATCTGAGGAACATAAAAGAGTTTCCCCTGCATGGGAAATGGAATGGAATGAAATGTGCATGCTATCACTTGTATAGTGTATGTGAAACACTCTTCACAATACAGACATGAATGTATCCTTAGGACAAGAAGCAAGCTGGCCCAAGCGAATCAAACACATAATCCAGGAGAGATGGACAAAAAAGATTCAATTTCTTTGAATTTGCTCATTTGCATTTTCCTAAGAATCTTTGCTCTGTGATTTATGAGTTTTTTACATCAGCACAATAGCTGGCTGAGCAGATCACTCTTAACTGCAGCCACACACGCAGAAGTCCAGAAGTTTGTAGTAGAAACATTCTCACACCAAACTGCCTCATATGCAGCAGGCTCAATTCTCAGGGGATTCGATCCAGTTGAGTACATCTCTCTCCTGTTCCATAGGGTAGGGTCTGTTCTGTCCACCTGCACTTCGTTAGAGAACAGTGTGTTCACACGCCATACCACAAGAACCCACAGTGACATAACTCCGGCCAGAGACTGGCGTGACTGGGCTGGTTCCCCCACCCCCTCCTCAGCTCTTGTATCACTGAGAGTCTGGCAGCTAGTTCCACCCTGACAGAGTTCACAGCATATATTAGTGGATCCTTGTTCTCAGTGCGTCTGTTTAAGGAATTAACGGAAGCAGTGTCAAGAGTAAGGTAAGTGCCTTTTTAACTGTAGCCCAGGGGATGCTGATTCTTTGGGACAGTGTTTAGTTTTAACAGGAACGGAAAAAAAAGAATCTAGAGGAATTTTGCCAATTTGCTATTCGACAGTTTTGAACATTGATTTTCATGTTGTACTTAATGGGCTTTCCATTATTTAGGGATCATTTCACAGTGTGTGCCGGATTGATTGGCAAAGGAAATTTAAAATGTTCCAAGGTCATAGTGAGAATCTAGTTAAAGTAGACATTCAAAAAGTGCAGAAATTAAAAGGCTAACCATCTATGCTAATTAGCTACATATGCTCATATTGTTGAAACCTAGTATTGGAGCAGAGAAAGGACACTGCTACCAGCATTCAACAGATTTTGCAATAAAGTATGTTGATACAGGTTACAATAAACATTCTGTGTTATAAAACATTAGCTGAAGTCTCAGACACTTGTATGGATTGCTTCTTTGTGTTTTGCTAGTTTTAAAGATTTGTGGTTTGAGATGTACACCTTAAGGAACATGTTTTAAAGAAATTCTAAGAAACACTTATCTTTTTTTTTTTTTGCAAAGAACATTTCTTTTATGGCCACAGGTATTTGAAAAACATGGGTGAAAGTACAGTGTGATTTTCCTTCACAATGGAGGCACTGTATGTTTACAAGCTTGTTTTGAATTCAGAGTGTTAGCTTTTACTTTGCCAAAACTGGAAGAAATTTTTGTTACTATGCCTATTCATTTAAAAAATTCAATCAATAAAACATTATTCATCACTAATGTGTTGAAATGTATGAGGAATTCTATCACTATGCCTTGTTCCTAGTGCTTAGTTATGGGAAAATCCTTCCATTTAGAATCATGGTGGATAATTTTTTTTTTAGTTTATTAACACTGTGACTATATCTGATGTTAGAATTTTAAGTGTTTTGTAAAATCTTCTTCAGTATTTCCTTTGATGAAGTCTGTTAGGATTCCAAACTAAATCAAAACATATATATTTAAAACAAATGGTCTCCCAACTCCTAGTCACTCAAAGCTACCTAATGCAAAAGCTGTGTCATACTGTTCACGTGTATTATCACACAATGCACTCGATTTGACTGTGGACTTCTTGTCACATCATTTCTCTCACAGGAATACCAACTTTTCTATAATGCATTCTGTGAATCCAAACTCTTATATTCTAGGTTTTTAAACATGTAAACTGCTAGCTTTTCTATGAAAATTGAAACACAATTGATCCACTTAGAAATATGTTATGTCAAAATAACCACCAGGATTTTTTTTCAAATTTACACTCTCAGCTTAATCCCTTGTAGACAGTTGACGATGTCATCATTGCTATTGCAATTACTGTTGCTGTTTTTGTCTTCTTCATTCTCTTCTTTCTTACTTCTGCTTTGTGTGGAAACTAAAATTTGGATTAACAAATCATTTCACCTTAGATATTGGCACAAAGAAGATGAACTTAGAATTCATTGAAAAACGAGAACTTAATTTTTAAAAGTTGAAAACATGCTATTTTTGACTAGCTGGGATCCTTTTTGGTTTGGGTTTGAAACTCAAGCCTATTTGACATATCCCTGTTGGGTAAACATTTGTTCTTCTAAAATTAATTTACTAAATACTAGCTTCAGAGTACAGTCTTGGAGTGTGTTTTAAAGCATAGAATGTTAAGCTGCAACTAATGTAAATATCCATTTGAGAATTCCTCACCCCCATTCCTCTGGATCCACTCCATAACAAGGCCCCTTGAAAGGAATGTGTAGGCTACCTCTTCTACAGCTTTCCCTGGGGAAAACCACAGATGGCCCCTGTTCCTGTTAGGGTCTGTCTAATGAGGAATTTTAATGATGTCGATGACAGCGTGCACTGAGGAATTTACAGTGGTCTCCTAATTTTCATTTCTTCAGGTTTAGAGAAATGTTCGCAAGTAGGGTTCTAACATGCTTGGAGATGGGAACCCCCAGGCTTGGAGGGAGGATCAGAAGCAAGGACTAATCGATTATGTTAGTCATACCCAGAAGGGGGCGCTTGTGTACATACCTGAAACCTGTTTCCTCCCAAAGGTGTAAACCCAACATACTCTTATCCTAATGCTCAAATATATAAGTTTAAAGACAGTGAAGACACTATTTGAAAAGGCATTGAAAATTGAAAATGAAATACCAAAATGAGCTTTGTTAATGAAGTTAACATAAATCAAACTTTTTCTTGGAATTACATTATCTTATAATAATTTGTCTCCACTTTATTTAGGACTCTAAGTACTTGCTGAAAATGAATATGTGTGCATTTGCTCTTGTCCTGGCATTAATCTGTGGTGTCAGCGGCCAATATTATGATTATGATGCCCCTCTCTTCATGTATGGGCAATTATCACCCAACTGTGCACCAGAATGTAACTGCCCCCACAGCTACCCAACTGCCATGTACTGTGATGATCTGAAGCTGAAGAGTGTCCCCATGGTGCCTCCTGGCATCAAGTACCTTTACCTGAGGAATAACCAGATAGATCACATTGACGAAAAGGCTTTTGAGAATGTAACTGATCTGCAGTGGCTCATTCTAGATCACAACCTTCTAGAAAACTCCAAGATAAAAGGAAAAGTTTTCTCAAAGCTGAAACAACTGAAGAAACTGCATATAAACTACAACAACCTGACAGAGTCAGTGGGTCCACTTCCAAAGTCCCTGCAGGACCTGCAGCTCACTCATAATAAAATAAGCAAGCTCGGGTCCTTCGAGGGGCTGGCAAACCTGACCTTCATTCACCTTCAATACAACCAGCTCAAAGAGGATGCTGTGTCTGCCTCTCTGAAAGGCCTGAAATCACTAGAGTACCTTGACCTGAGCTTCAATCAAATTGCTAAGCTTCCTTCTGGCCTCCCAGCCTCTCTTCTAACTCTCTACCTAGACAGTAATAAGATCAGCAACATCCCAGATGAGTATTTCAAGCGCTTTACTGGGCTACAGTATCTGCGTTTATCCCACAATCAACTGGCTGATAGTGGAGTACCTGGAAACTCATTTAATATATCATCCTTGCTCGAATTGGATCTCTCCTATAATAAGCTTAAAAGCATACCAACTGTTAATGAAAACCTTGAAAACTACTACCTGGAGGTCAATGAACTCGAAAGTAAGTATAAAGCTGCCCCTGTGTTTGATTGGTATATCAAGTGTTAAAATCCATAAGCTTCACAACAGAATAAGAATGAATTAACAATTCTTATGGTGTGATGCCATGCTAAGCCTTAGTGCAGGGGGAGGGGCTTACTACTGCATCACTTAACTTGCCAGGCTTTGTTAACTCCCCATGGGAGCCCTTACTCATTGGGAGGAGTGGATAGGGGGTGAGATGCAGGGTGGAGAAAGGCAAAGTGGGGTGGTAGGTGGGGTAGTATGTGGGATGGCAAGGAAAACTGTGGTTCGAATGTAAAATGAAAATTTAAAACGTAATTTTTTTTAAAAGAATGAATTAAAAGAACAACAAAATTCAAACACGGAACTCTAGCTCAGACATACATTGAATTCCTCCTAGTCTTTCCTCGGAGTGTCAAGACCAAGAGCAGTTAAAGCCACAGAATGTTACATTAAATTTATCAGGATTTATTTAATATTTGAGGATAATTGACACTGATGTTTTATCTCTTAATATTTATCTTAATAGCTTAATAGCTTGTTCCTGAGGTAGATTTGTGTTCTTCTCATATTATTTGGCAAGATTCAATTGAAGAAAGGAAGACAAAAGTTAAGAAGCCATGTCGTAACCACAGGCTCTCAAGCCTCCTTCCAATTACTGACTCAGACCACATATATGTAGTCCCATTGTCCCTAAACTGTTGAGATTCAGTGTGTCACCCTATTAACATGGCCAATGCCACCCTCTCTTATCTAGCATGGCATATGTGGCGTTCACAGTATTTTCGTGAGGATTCTAAGGAAGATTAAGAGTAGAATGATGTAGAAGATTTCAATTATTTATTTTTTTAAATATCCTTGTAGAGTCCTTATTTGTACAGCCCTTCACTTTCTCTATAGTCATACCCTCTCTTTATATGCTGCCATATTTTATTTGTCTCTGTGATGGAGCTGAACTTGATCTGCTTTATGGAGGCTTCCATCTTCTAGGCTTACTTCAGTTTAGACAATATGAAATTAGACATGAAATTAAAATATTGTATCCCAATGTTACGATGTAATAGAGTTTGGGACAGGAGTGTATCATTTCAACCATTTGTGAAAAATTAAGGCGCAAAACACTATTTTACCTATAATTATGTACAAATTAAACTTGCTTCTCTATTTAAATTGAATTGTTTATCTAACAAAAGGTCACTTCCCTTGCCATGATAAACACATTGCTATCAGAAAAATATTGGTTATTGTGACTCTGTTGCAATCTTCCTACAATTTTATGTAGCTCCTGGGTTGCATATTCTCATGTTAACATAAAGGAGACTGTGATTGTTAACATAAACATACCTGTTTCATTTTAAAAGCCACCAAAGCAAGGTTTGGAACTGTTTGACTGACTGTCACATGATACACAGATCACACTATCACAGTTCTATTAGTGTAATTGTTTATAGTCTAAAGTTCACTGTGTGACAATTCATGCTCTTTCATTTTTCCAAGTAATAGTGACAATTAATAATTGCAATTTTCTGAGTCTAAATCAGGTTCTTCACATTGAACACTACATTAAGTGACAAACTTTAAGGATGTATAAAAACCACATCCTTCAGTACATATGGAAAATTGGTTCTCAACCTCTCTTACATTCTAAACTCTAAAGTGCATTCTATAAATGATATAATAGTTTCAAATGACTTTATGCATATCTTCCCTTGTATGTTTAAACCTCCATAGATTAATTATGATGCTCATAAAATGAAGATGATATCTATGTAGTCATGTGCTATAGTTTCAGGAACAAAAGCAATTAAAACTTTTTTATTACTTATAAATGCAAATTTTAAAATATTTTTGACCTGTGACATATCACATCTGAAAACGAGACCCCCCCAAAAAAATACAGTGCTCCAATATATACCCACAAGCAATTATCCTTATTCCAGTCATGTGACTAAGAGTTAGATTAAATCAATCTTGTCTTCTTTCAGTGAAGTGATTTGAGATTGAGAAAAAGGTTAAAACGAAGTTATCAGTATTAATTAAGGGCATTATGTGTGTTGATATGCTGTGTGATGCTTTGAACAATTTAATAATTATAATGCAACTCACTGAAAGTAACCCATTATATCAGACAGTGGGGGCAGCTGAGAGTTCAAAGTTCCCAAGCTGGGTAGCAGAGATTGCATCCAAACACAGCCTAAGGTCATCTTTCTTTGTATCATACTTTCTCAGAGATGGGTATTATAGAAGGACCATGGAGTTACACTTAAACGCAATCCAAATATGAATAATAAAAGAATGTAGTTCTTCTATTTGTTATTGTTGAGAATGAAGAAAATAATGATCTAGGGACCAGACAAGGTAAAGTTCAAATTGACCAGGGTAAACATAGGCAGTTCTAGTAGGGTTCTTTGTTTCTACTAGATGAGTTTTGGCTTGTGGCAGCTTCTCAACCACTGAGGAACACTGGCTACATTCCATGATTTGGTTTATGCCTTGGAGTTTTGATTCTCAGCCATAGTGTGTGGTTGATGGAAAATTCTTCAGTGATCATGTAGTCAAGTCTATCATTTTCAGCTGGAAAAAACCAAGGATATGAGTTTTTCATTGATGAGGTTTTCATACAACTCATGTTTCTTCAGGTCAGACTAAACAATTCAAGACCCTTCCTACTAATTCATATTCATTGAATGCATTTCTAAGGCTTATTATAAAAATTAAATAAATTCTATTTTTTAGAAATTTCATTGAGCCTCCTGATTTATCCTAATTAGTGTTTATTAAATACCACTGTGCCACTTTAGTAGCCTGAAATGTAAGTTCAGTGGTCTCTGCTTCACAAATACATAGTAAAGATGGCTTTCTATGTGGGACATCCTATCTAATAACAAATTAGGCATAGGGTATTTTCTTTAAGTGATTATTTCAAGAGAATATAGTGAAAGGTGATTGATTTTTTTCTATTTTTTCATTCACAGAGTTTGATGTCAAGAGTTTCTGTAAGATCCTGGGACCACTATCTTACTCCAAGATCAAGCATTTGCGCTTGGATGGCAATCCCCTCACCCAAAGCAATCTGCCCCCTGACATGTATGAGTGTCTACGTGTAGCAAATGAAATCAATATTAATTAACATCTTCTCATCACAATCCATTGGAGTATGGTCTGGAGCAATACTTCATGGTTACATATTTTGGGGATATGTGTAAAGTTTTCACAATATTCTTTTGTTGATTTTTGTTGCTATTACTTCATGGATTTTAACTGGTGAAGGAAATGTTTTTGAACATTTACCACTTTTTAATGAAAGATGAAAAGCCGGCCTATTTCATCCTGATAACAGACACACAGACATTAAACTTAGTTCTTTACTCGTAAATATACTGTTTTCTAAAGCTCTGTTTTCAAATGATATGAAGCCTCTTCTCTGATTGCTTGGAAATAAGCCAAGTTTTTATGGTCCCTACATTTTAATTTAATGACCCCCAAAAGAGGAAATAAATATGCATGGATGTTGTTATCCTAATCCAAATTGTCAAATTATCGTGTTATATTCAAATTTGTTTTGCTGAAATATAAATTCAGTATTTTAATACCAATAATTTTCAATTACACCATAGAAAATTTATGAAACTACATCCACTTTAGTACTGAACATTTGCATAGTTACTTAATGAAACTTTTCTTGAATCATTTTTCTCTGTCATGTGTATGTTTCTTTTTGATTATTTGCATGTTATGATTAACAAGCTAATAGCAAAATAAAACATTGCAAATGGCATCATGGTGTTAATTCTTGTGAAAACCATATCTCTCAAAAAGCACATAGAGGAAGCCAGTCACCTTCTAAGACAGCCCTAATCTGTAATATTTCACTTGTGTGATCATAAGGTTTTTTACACTTTGGCTGATTCTAACATCTACATACAATGAAATACCAAACCAATTTCATAAAATCCAGTTAGATCTCACACTTCTTGGATATTGTTGATATTTCCATTCTTGTTTTTTTTTTTTCACAAGAATGTACATTGCGACCCTATTGAAGAAAGTATGTAAAATCTTAGTAGTCACTGCTGAATTCTTAAGTGAAAATGGTGATACACAATGACAAATAAACTTAAAATATTCTGAAAAATATTTTCAAGTAGAAGTTATTATGTACTTAATACATTGCATCTGAAATATAGGAATTGATTAATATACCAATAATAACATATTTAAGTGTTCCATATTATGGGATTCCATGGTGTTCACAATTGGAACAGTAGGAAATATCATTCAGGGAAACAACCTCCACTGTCCAGTAAACATTAAAGATTTTGTTATTGTTGTTTTCTTTCTTTACATTTAGAATCTTTATTGTTATTTTAATATATGTAGATATTTTTATTCTTAGAAAATTCTGTACAATGTATCTCAATCATATTCACTCCCAGACCCCCATGTCTGCCCAGAGACATCTAGCGCACATACACATACTTCATGAAATTTGTGGATTTGAGTTTTTTCTCTTTTTAAATTGAAAATAGATTTCTTTCCTTCAGTGTATTCTGATCATAGTTTTCCCCCCCTCCTTATTTTCTCCCAGAATCTCTCTATCTCCCCACACATCAAAATCCATACCTAATTTTTTCTCTCTTTTTAGAAAACAAATGAGTAAATTAAAAAAGAAGAAAACAAAGTGTAAAAACAATAAAAACAAAACCAAAGACCCAAGATACACATACACAGAATCAAAAAGAATAACATATAAGCAAAATGCCAATAAAGTAAAAAATACCCAGACAAAGCATTATAAGAACAAAATAAATCTCAAAAAATACCATTGAGTTTGTTTTGTGTTGGCCAGCTATGGCTGGGTATTAGGCCAACCCTTAACTATGGTTTGTAGACACAATGAGATGTCATTGGAGAAAACTATTCTCTTTCTTTTAGGAATGGTTGCCAATCAGAAATAACTTCTTTGTTGAGGATGAGAGCTCATGACTACTTCTCCCTCTCAGTATAAAGCTTGTTTATTATCAAATATTATGTCATCAAAACTAAACTCATCCAGCACCCACTGTATATGCTCCCTGCAACCCCAAAAGGAAGTATGTCTTCAAAGTTTTCCCATCCAAGTACTAACCAGGCAGGCCAAACCCTGCATAGCTTCCAAGTTCATAGGAGATTGGGTGCGTTCAGGGTGGTATGGCCATAAACAAAGCATGGCGTTTTCATAGAATACATTAAATGAACTTATTCTATGTTTTATTGTCCTATCACTGAAGACCTATCTAATGAAGACTGAAATTGGAATGGGAAGAATATTGTACCAGCTGATTGTGTACCTGCTAGTCTCATGTCTTTTCTTTGTAGAGTAAGTTCCTTGAATTGTGACTGTTCCACTCCTTTCTTGATATAAACTTTAAAAAGCACTTTTCCTCAACAAATCTATTTTGTAGAAGAAACAAAGTGAAAATTTCTTGCTTTTCCCATGAAACTCACTACTAGTTCTTGAAAACCTATTCTCAGATAGATAGAAGAAAATGTGTCATAAGGTCTCTAAATGTGGCCCTAGATGAGCTTTGTCTTTATAATGCTTAGGAACACTGTTTTGGATGGAAGTATATCTACATATTTCAAAGCCTTAAATCTACCTATATCCAAATTGTGATATATTAAGTCTAAAATATGACAGTAACTTAAAACAGTAATCTTCTTTGGAGTTTGGTTGAATTGAAAAAGACAAAATTCAAGAATGGGAAAACATTTCCTTGTAGAAGTATCTGTCAGAGTTAACTGATCATGTCCTGGATATCATCTTCTCAGTGAGGAGCTAGACAAAGACTCTGTTAGTCTTCTGTATTTCATAGCCCAGTTTTAGGCAGTTAGACAGGATGGAAAAACCAGTCACTAACAAATGTATTCATTCCTTATGGCCTCAGGTAGGATAGTGTTTTTCAAAATGTCTAATGCATCCCAGAAAAGGCCCCAAATACAGAGACCCAACAAAGTAGAAAGCATAGCATTCATAGCATTCAGCATTTTAAAACAGCATGTCTGTGATCCATTGTTATTTCTCACCACAATGACTCAGTGTGACACCATGGTTAAGCTGGTGGCATCTCAAACAGTAAAAGATAGACACTGTTCTTTTCCTGGAGAAATGTGACAGAAAGAAGCCTGCTGTCCACAACACTCCCAAATGTTTTGCATATTCACACAGTAAACTTTCAATTTCAAAGAAACTGTCACTGATCTAAGACACTCAGCTACTTCTAGGCAACTATTCTCCTTCAGACTGGCCCAGTTTGGAATCTTGTAAGAAAGATGACTTCCAGTTCATTTTGATTGAATTTTCAACAAGACAACAAGGGAAATAGATCAAAACAGGATGAATTTATGGTCGGAGAGTCCCTCAGCTGACTCAAACAATGGTTTTGATTTCATCTCTTTTGGAATAAATTTCCCCACGAATAGAGCAAATCTCTGACGCATAAAGATTTTTCTTCTCCTAAACTGGATTTACTTAAACTCTTAACTGTGGTCCCTTAATTAAATGGAAAGAAAAAAAAAACGATAAAAACCCCTCTTTGTTTTCAAGATGTCCATTTGAAAATTAGGCTCTTCTAGCACAGGGGACTATAATATCGTCTGGGTTTGAGGTTTGAGAAGCTCCCTAATGCTCTATTAAGTATAAGAAGATACATGAGTAACAGACCACTAAATGAACCAGAGGAATGCTGATTTCTTAGTTAAAAGTTCTTTTGCTGGTAATAGCTAGGTTTTCCGAAGTACTGGAAGCTTTAAAAGATTGAGTTTACAAAGAACTGAATTTCTTTGCTCATGGTCTTTTTAAGTTTGGGGTTCAGTATTTCCACAGCTATGATTTTGGTATAATGATGGCCTTAGATTTTTCTTTGGTTGGACATACCTACCATACAAGCTTAACATTTATTCACAGTAAGAAAAACGGTTTTGATGTTTAAAGAGACCTAATGTTAACTTTAATATTAGAACTTAGAATCTACAAAAAATAAGAATGACACTAACTTAGATATTCTGAAAATATATAAAGTGAATAGAAATATATTTTAAAGATACCCAGTTAAGTAAATTAACTTATGTGTTCAATAGATTTTCTCAATAAGAACTATGTAGTGGAAACAATGTGTGAAAAGTTGAAGTTTAGGTAACATAAGTAGATGAGTTCTTTTGCCTATTAATCACACTGTATAATCTCAACGTTTAACTCCTATGTGGCAGCATTTCTCTCAGATTTTGTTTAACTAAACATTGACTAAATTGAATCAATCTATTTGTGCCTTGTGTCTTTAAAATATATCTGGTATTCTGTATACTATCAAAATAACAAATACTCCACGGTTTGAAGACTTCTGTGAGTCCTTAATGCTTTGGATTGCATTTATATCACCCACCAAGTATTTTGCCAGCTTTCTTTCAAAATTTTCTTAGATTTCATCTAGAGAAATGAAGCATCTCCTGCTGTAGCTCACTTCATTATCCATGCAAACCTCCTTCTTCTTCATTTACTGTTGAAAACTTGCTGGAGATATGTCATTGCTTTCTTAATAAGACCAGGGTTCTCAGAGGAGGACACAAGGATATCAAAATCCTTGGTAATCTGGTTCTAGTTGACATCTCTAGATGTCTTTTGCTAGATTTTGTGAGGCCAGTTGTATACCATATAAGATACTATTAATATCTTTTATCATAAATGGAAAATTATTATTAGGTTAAAGTTCATTGTAAGAGTGGTTCATTCTAATAAAAGCCATCAGTGCATACTTCTTTAGGTATGTTTAATAATTTATTAACAAGCATTTTATAAACTTCTTTTCAAATCTAGGAATAATTTTCTTGCTAGGGGTGCTTCTCTGAACGTGATTAACAAATTCTAATCCTCCTAAAGTTGATATTCATAGGGGATTAACCACTTACTCTGTAAGACATCAGGTAGTGACAAGTGCTTTAAAGAAATATCTTCTAAGCCATAAAAGGGAAGAGGTGTAGGTGATTATTTTTCTGGATGACTGAGAAAGTGGATTATTTACAATAATGTCTCATTTTATAACATTTGAAATGAGGCATAAACTATTATATATTTGTGCATAACAATTAGTGAAAACTGAGGTCACACATTTGAAGGAGAGTGAAGAGAGCTTTAAGGGAAGGTGTGGAGGATGAAATTTGTAATTGTAATATGTTCTTAAAAATAAATGATAAAGGGAATGGTCTTTACATATTGCTTCTACTCAATATTTATAAGACATATTCCTACTGTCAAGGAGCAAATACTAATAAATAGGGTCAGACACATATTGAGTGTTAACTCCCATGGTGACTTCATCTCTATTTTCAGCCTGAAGATTATATTCAACAAGTTCTCCTGACATTAAGGGGTCTCCAATGTGCTTACAAGTTTGACTATAAATCCCCCTTTCAAATCCTGACAAAGCACAGAGCTTGTCAGTGATTCTTAAGATGTGGTTGTTGACAGAACAGTGATGAAGAAGAACAAACTATGAAAGTCTGTCTTTAACAGGGTCTTTTCCCAAAAGTCCAACAAGGTCTTTCATTCACTCTCATTAACTTTAAACAAATACTTGAAATCACTTTAACTCCTGGGACCATTCATTTATGTTAAATATACTTTTGGGGTATAAATGACAAAATTATATGTACTGACAATAAATATGTACACATTCATACATGCAAAAAATGTGTTGTAGCTCAATCAAGCTAATTAACAATACTACCATCTCATAATCTTAGAAGTTTCTGGTCTGAGGACATTTTAGATATATCATAATAACAATACTCAAATATATTCTATATCATTAGCTACAGTTGCCAAGTTTTACCTTTGGTAAACTAGTTTGTATAATGAACCAGGAATTATCATGACTGAAAAAAATGACTTGACAATTTCTAAAGAACCTTCCTATTTAAATTATTTCATCAATGAACAAAGCTTTGGACTCAGAAACTGTGTTGTATTCAATTTTCCTGCTGGTAACATGTAGATTTCTGATTTACTTCAGTTAGGCTTAAAGTTACTGTGGGTAGATAATGTGGAAGACTGTGGAATTATCTAT